CCTTTCATCAACCCCATCCAGACAGGTTGGAAACAATTCAGTGGAGAGTCTACCTTTCTCCATACCCTCTATAAGCCCGTCTCTTCTTGTCTTTATAGCCCCCCATTTTGGGTAGCCAATGTCTAGATTCCCCATCCTTGTTGACCCTGTGTACCAAGGGGATGGGGATGATCCTCACTATAAAGATTTGTTCACTCCTTTTTCATACTGCATCCACAAGCATAGGTCAAGTTCATTCAATTGTAGTGGGTTACTCTTTTTTTTTTTTCCCCCTCATCTTTCTTCCTCTAGTTGTGTTCTGATCATCCAGCCATTTATGCCAGGTTACATGGGCACTATCTGAAGGTGTGGGTGTTCTTGTACATCTCCCCTCACTTCGTATCAGCTGGACACTTCACACCGCTGTAGTCCTATAGGGCCATTTTTTTTTTTTTAAATGGAAAATGAATTGGTTCTTATGAAGTCGACAGATGAAGAAACATCTTCCTCCCCCACTTCCCCTTTCTTGTGGTCTTGAGTAAAAGACACCAAAATTCTTAAGACATTGGGCATGTTTAAAAAATGAATTCACATGTTTTTTTGGGTCCCTGAGTGGCATAAGTGGTTAATGTGCTGGAACACTCACCAAAATGATATAGGTTTTGAGTCCACCCAGAGTGGCCTGCATGGGGGTCTCCAGGAGGACAGACTGACTAGATGGACCCAGTACTGGAGCTGGGACTTGTGTTCTTAGAGCTTGGTTTAGGTCTTGGAGCTGGGTTTGATTTTTTTCTGGAAAAGTCACTTGCGTGGAGCCATTGTAAATCTGGTGGCAGCAAAATTTCAGGGAGAACGGTGTGTGTGTGTGTGCATTGGTTAAAGATTTTGTAGAGAAGGGATTGTAAAGCAGAGCCAAGTTGTGTAAGTATAGTTTCACCACTGTGAATTCAGTTAAGAAAGGGGGGCAAAGATCTGCAGTATTCCATTCATTTTTATAACAGAATCTAAAGTGGGCTCCTTCCCATGAGGAGTGGTTAAGGAATCGGAAAGGCTCTCAGTGGATCACAAAGATTTCCAAGATTTTAAGATATAGTTGTTTAAAAACTTTTAAAAAAATGTTTGGGGTTTTTTTTTGTTGTTGTTGTCGTCTTTTGATGCCATCAAGTGGATTTTGACTCACAGCAAGCCCATGTGACAAGGCAGAAGTGTCCCTTAGGGCTTTCTAGCTGTGTTCTTTATGGAGACTGTTCTCCACTAGAGAAACTGGGTGGGTTCCAACCGCCAACCTTTTGGTTAACAGGCGCGTAACCATTGTGTCACCAGGGCACCTGCGAAGTGATGATGTGAATGAAGTGATAGCAGGTGTATGTGGCGTGGCTAAGGTGTCTCCACCCTCAGGTTCCCTGTGGAGCTCCATTCATGTGGACATGCTCTGAGCGTGGCTGTCCCCTCTGACATCTCTATGTGACCTCACACGAGGGTTCTAAAGGATGGCAGGTCTAGGATGACTTGTAGAGAGGGCATGGCTGCTTTTCTCCTAGTGGGCTACCAGCCCATGGAACTGAAGGAAGCACATGAGCTGATGTGTGTATTTCTTATTACACTGGTTGGCCAGACTGACGAGTCCCAGTCATCCTTCACTACCCTTGGGGAACCTCTGGGACCCATCAGTGCCATGGCCTTGTCTGTGTGTTTTTCCCCTTCTCCAGCCGTAGGGGAAGAACGGGGTTTTTCTACCCCTGGGTGACCTAAGTGTTCCACACAGCCCAGCCACCCCCTTCTAGAGCATGTTTGCCGATGATCCCCAGCCCTTCTGTGGGGGTGCCCAGGGAGGACGCCTCAACTCTGCTGAGACTTGAGTTACATCAGTTTTGCCCTATCACCAGCTATACGCACCCCCAACTTTTCACTCAGTACTGGACACCCAGGTCCTGAGAGTAGCAAAGCCAGCACCATTGGCCCAGGACACCTTCTCTGGGCAGAAAGCACACCAGGCTCTGTTCAAACAGCTGGCGAGCTGGGTGGCTTTCAAGCCTCTGGCACCTGTGTGTACAGCTACATGAAGGGTGTGCGTATTCTCAGGATCAACAGTTAGTACACTGAACACAGACCCTCTTGACCAGTTATGGATTATCTCTGATGGATTGGGAGTCTTGGTGTTGCAGTGGATTAAGCATTGGACTGCTAATGACAAGGACCACGGTTCAAACCCCCCCCCCACTGCTCCAAGGGAGAAAGATGAGGCTGTCAGCTTCTGTAAAGACTGATCATCTTGGAAACACTAAGGAGTAGCTTTACTCTGACCTGGACAGCACTTAGCAATATCAAGTGCGTCTCTATGAGTCAGAATCAACTCAGCGGGAATGGGTTTGTTTGTTTGTTTTTCTGTGTTTTTTTTTGTTTGTTTGTTTTGGTAGATTAAGACTTTGTACCAGTGTCAAGACCTCCTAGAGGACCAAAAGCTGAAAAAGAATCCAGAGTCAGTTGTTCCCTTAACACACAAACTGGCTAAATAAAATACTTGGCACACACACTTAACCACTGTTAACACTCTTACCTGTTTAAGATCTGCCCATTTCCTCACAACACACTGAAGCCCTTCAGTCAGGGTGAGGGGGAAAAAAGTTTTTCTTCATAAGGAAATTGGAGCGTGGGTCTCAGCAACCATGTCCTTTGAGTCCACAGGATGATCCCATGATATCATCACCTGCAACGAGTGTGTGGTCCACATCAGGCAGAGATTAGATGTGCGGTGTGTTCCTGGGAAACTTCATTCATTTCCTTCCCTCACCCTTAGCCATGCACTCGGAAAATATTTGATGGGACTCTTCAGTAGAAAGTGCTCCCTTTCTGCACCCAGGGAGCCCTTGGCAGTCTGGCCTTGGGCACACTCACTGTCTCTATGTTGTGTCTCAAGGACGGGAGATGCTGCAGCAGCCCGGAAGTCAGTGTTGACGCGCGGAGAGCTCGTGGCCCAGGCATCCCCGTGGTATTTTGGAAGGGCCAAATCTCTGACTTTGATCTTCTAAAATGATCCGTTGCTTCTGGGGAACAATGACTTCTGAATTTTTAGCAGCCTTTCCTATCCCCCAAACCCATTTGTCTACGATGGGTTTTGCTTCTGCTAATACAACTCTGTCTTTTAATGTCCATCTTGATACTTATGTGTTGCAATTGAAGATCTAATGTGGAATTAGGGTGGTGGAGGACATGATTAACATTTGTGACTATTTGGGGGGTGGAAGATGATCTGCTGTTTTTATGACCATGCATCTAAATGGTGGTGGTGGGGCAGTGTTTCTAGTTTCAAATCCAGCCTTGTGTTGTTTGATTTTTCATGTTTGTTTTTTTCTCTTTGAACTGTTATGTCTTCATTATTCCTGTTGCCTGTGTTTTTTCCCTCCCCTCTTCCCAAATAACCTTTCATGCCTGTTATTTGCGATGCTTCCGTCAGACGTTTTGTTGCTCCTGTTTCTAGACCTTATTGCAATGAGAGGATCGTGATTGTTCAATTGCTTTCTCGTTCCATATTTTATTTTGCTTTTTTCTCAGTTGTCTGAGTTCCTAAACCATGGCATTTGTTGGTTGAGAAATGAAGATTCATAAAGGCTATTTTTTATGTTTTGTGTTATGGGGTTTTTTTCCCCCATCCCCTCGCCTGCTTTACCTGACACTCCCCGTGGATGGTGAAGGGTTTGCTCTTGAGGTAGTGGTGCTTCCTAACACACACACACAGTTGGGTCATCCCATAGTAACTGGGGCAAAGCCCTCTCACGCTGCTCTTCTCATCACCATCTCCATTTTTACCCACTGGTTCCATCCTGCCTGCCTTCAGTTTGTGTGTCTCCAGCGTTTTTTGTTCCATCTAGTTCCTGGTACAACCAACTGTACATGGATCTGTAGGCTTGAGGCACCAGTCCATCTGCTTTGTTTTCCTTTTCACTCCCCCCCACCAAATCCAAGAGAAAACTTGCCATACAGAGCTAGAAGAGTCTAGCTCACAAGCCTTTTGAATCTTCTGAGTGTTCATGGCCCCTGGTTTCGGAATCTGTTTTCTCCAGGAGGTCTCTGGGGGCTGAGCTGCATCAGGGGCCGGGTGCTGGGTTGGGTGGGAAGGGTTGCCCCAGTGCTTCATTGTGCATGTTTTGGGGAGCTTGAGTTATGAATGAGGAGTACCTCAACAATCATGATGCCTCTGTCACTGTCCTCTTGCCAGCTTTCCGATAATGCATGGTGCTTATACCTCTGATTTACTGTGCTCTGGACCATCTTCTCTAGCTGCCTCAACAACAACTCTTTAAAGCTTTAAAGGGAAGTGAATTGGGGGCTGTGTGCTGCCGTCTCATTTTCATTAGAAATCGGGCATCCTAGAGAGGCTGGTGACGCTATGTCTCAGACCACATGTGATCTGGGCACTTTATTCCCCCTGAGCATGCCCAGCTCGGGGGCTTGCTGTCAGGTTGTTGTTGAGCCAGCTGGCTGAGGTCCCCAGCTCCCACCATGATGATCCCAGGTGAGCAGTAGTGGAACCAGCTTCCCCTAGCCCCCTTTTTGTAAAAGCCAAAAAGGGAGCCAGCCGCCTGACTTTGTCCCCACTGCCTGGCACCTCTCCCCTTCCCCTGGGCAGACTCTGAGCACCAGTTTGCTCGTGACCAGAAATGCAAAGCAACCAAAGAGGAATGTAGATTCTGGAGGAAAACCACATTTCCCCACAAGGGCCCATTAGTCACTCTGAGCTGGATCCACTACTGGCCCAGGAATGCTGATGGGGCCCTGTCTGGTCTGGGACGGAAGCTGGAATTTGGTGCTCTGCAGTCTAGCGCTCGCTCGGAAGCGTGGTCACCTTGAGAGACCACCTTCCATCCAGAACATTTGCATTTCACCTTCCTCGCCCAGATCCAGTCAGTAAAGTAGCTTCTCACTTCTTGCATCTGTCGAGGGCAGCACTGGGCCCTTCCCTTCCTCCTGGGTTTACTTGGATGCAAGGAATGTGTTTTGTCCCCTCCCCCATCCTGATGTAGCTCACCACCCCGGGAAGTGTATGTCACAGACCAACTCCACCTTCACCTTCACCACCTGCCGCATCCTGCATCCTTCAGATGAACTCACAAGGGTCACGCCAAGGTAAGAGCCGTGGGCCCCAGGAGGGCAAGGGTAGGGTGAGATACGGGTACTCCCTGTGAGGCTCTGACTGTTGAGGAAAACCAAAGCTTAGCAGCTCCTCCAGAGACCCACTCCACATAGCTTAAGCATCTCATAAGCTTTTTCAGTCACCTATTCTAGGTCCCAGAGTCCTCGTGTGACACTGTGGGTTAATGCACCTAGACCACAAGGTCAGTTTGAATCTCAAGGTTGGAGCTTCAAACTCACCAGCCACTTCTCAGAAATCCTGTACAGGGTTGCTATGAGTCGGAACCGACTCGCTGGCACTTAGCAACAACAATTCTAGGTCCCATTTCCCCATTGATTTGGATCCCACTTGGATAGAGACATAGGTCCTTTCAGCTCCCCTTTTAGTTGGCTATGGAATGGATTCTTAGGCCTGTCAGCAGACCGGAAGCTGGCACTACCACAGACCCTGAGCTAAGGCTGTTGGGTTATCAATAGAATGTGGAGTTCTTTCATGGGGGTGCAGTTACTGTGTCCTGTGGAAGCCTATGTGCTTTTGGGACAGACTCCAGGAACTGTGTGCCGCTGCCATGCAGTAGTGACCCAAGTGATAAAGCGCCAAGACTGAGCTGTGTACCTCGCGTGGCTTGGTTCTCTGGCACATCCAAGAAGCAGTAGAAGTTGACGCCATCCAGTGAGAAGACTTGGTGTCAGGGAGCAGTCTGCTTGGCTTGGTTTTAGGATATACACAACTTTCAGCTGGAGTCCCTGGGTGGTGCAAACAGTGCACTCAGCTGCCAACTGAAAGTTTAATGATTGGAGTCCACCTCGAGGTACCTCAGAAGAAAGGCCTGGTGGTTCACTTCCAAAAAGTCAGCTCTTGAAAGCCCCATGGCGCACAGATCTGCTCTGACACACATGGGTCCCTAGGAATTGGAGTCGACAGCAACGGGTAATGGAAAAGCTTCCAGCAAAAGGGAAAAGGGCTTCCCTCATCATACTAGAGGGACCCAATCTGGCTTTATGGTGCAGTAAAGCAAAATGCTGGTATTGATGGAAGGGGAAGCAAAAGGGAGGGAGGCAGAAAGCACCAGCTAACAGGCAGCAGCCGCCCCAAGGAGCACCTTAAACTATGAATGATTCTCCGCAGGTCATGTGAGGAGGACAACGAAGCAGCCATATGCCCCGTTGTGCTGAGAGGAGATGTAGGGCAGAGAGTCTGAGCCCCCAGGCGGGGCAGGGGGTGAGCCACACGGCCAGCAGGGCCTGCCCTGGCAGGGTCCCCTGGAAGGGGCTGTGTGTGCACGTGTGTCCGCCACTAACCTTGGTTTTGGGCGTGGATGTGTCCTGTGGTTTTGTTGAGCTAATGTAACCACCTAACCCTTCTAAACACCCAGACAAAAGAGTGGCAGCTTTAATTAAGACCTAATCCCAGTTCTCACTGGATGGGGGGCTCTACCTTTATTCCTGCCCCAGCTTTCCCCCCCGCCTGCGGTTTCCTGTTTGGAAGAAGTTGTTAAGAACATAGAGAAAAAGCTTCCCCCTGTGGGAGACCAGTGTCCTTGGTGCTCAGATGTGCTCCCCCGACTCAAGCCACCCACTCAAGACTGTGCACATGTCTTCATCTGTAGGCCCACCCAGCGATGCCTGGGACCACGAAGGTCTCAGAAGTCAGTACCAAGAGGGCTGCTTTGCCTGAGTGACAAAGGCAATTGGAAACAAACCTGAAAATCTCCCTAGCAGTAGTCATTTAAACAAACACTAAGCACTTTCATTTTTAAATCCAGAAGTTTTTGCCCCTTATTACTGAAAGATCTGTTTGTAGGATTCTTCGTGTACCTTTGAAGAATCCCATTTTAAATCTGCTGTGGTCATTAAACTCATAGTCCTCTGAGCATTCCTGCCCCATAGCTTCCCCTTCCTGAGCTTGGGTGACGCGGGCCTGTCTTGTGGGACCCCCACCCCATGCTACCTGCCAGCATCCAGGTTCCTGGACTCTGGAGTCAAATGGTGCATCCAGCTTTTCCTTGCTTTTGAAATGTCCCTCCCAAGGGAGAGGGCCCCTGCTCTAGAAGTCATTCCAAGGACCTGTTCCTGGCGCCCATCAGCACGGCTCCTCTTTCTCCCCTGCCCCTCTGGTTGGTGCTTTTTCCTCCCAGTGCCAGGCTGGGGGAACAAGGGACCACTCAGCTGATCTGCTTCGGGGGCACTACAGCCCCAGCCAAATCCCAGAGCAGGTGTCAGTGCTGGCTGGTAGAGGCAGTGCAGGGCTTCTGGTGTGTGTGGTCTCATCTTGTCCCTGCAGCAGCTGTTTAACAGAGAGCCTTCCCCCAACCTGAAGCCGTCACCCTCCCAGCAGATCCTCTGTTATACTCCTCTGCCCTGACTCCCCGCGCTGCTGGGCTCCAGCTTCTGGAGCGTAGTGGGGCTTCGGCCACTAAGACACAATGAACAAATGGTTTTCTCTCCTTCCCTGTCATTGCTCAGGTTTCGCATCTGCATGTCCAGTCTAGTATGACGCTGTTTTCTGGTTAGTTCCATAGATGTAGGTCTGATAACACATCATGTGGCCTCCTCTGACTCCGTAGCTCTGCTCATAGAGATGGATTTGGCTAGCCACGTGATGCAGAAATGGGGCACTGTATTAGAAGTGAGGAGACCTCCATCACCTGAGGACCCTTCACCTGGTCTGTCCCACCTGTCTTGGCCACTCCTAGTGTAAACTCTCCTATCCAATAGTCTTGTCTCAGGACGCCTGGGATTTTCATAAATCTGGGTAGGGAAAGAAACTGTCTTTGCTGAAGAGCCTTAAATCCTCCTTTGAGGAATAAGATGATAGGCCACCATTGGGTGTCACTCAGATTTGGTTTCAAATCCTGGGTCATCCACTTAATCGCTGGGTGTGATGTTGAGTATGCCCCCTAACCTCTGAGCCTCGGATTCCCCATCTGCTAAAGGAACAGTTATATCCATCCACTAGAGATGAGCAATAGGGGAGCATGTACAGTTTTCTGTTAACTTCAGCCATACCATTATTTAAAGGAACTTAGGTTGGTCTCTGTGGGTAATAGGAAAAGGTAGGCCATGGCTGGAGACTGATCACTGAACCTTTTCCTGCTGTTTGTGGGCATTTGCTCATGAACATACCATCATCTTTTCCTTCCAGCCTTAACTCTGCTCCGACTCCAGCATGTAGCAGTGCCAGCCACTTGAAGTCCACACCGGTGGCCACGCCATGCACACCCCGGAGACTGAGCCTGGCAGAGTCCTTCACCAACAACCGTGAGTCCACGACCACGATGAGCACTTCTCTGGGGCTGGTGTGGTTGCTGAAGGAGCGGGGCATCTCTGCAGCTGTGTACGACCCCCAGAGCTGGGACCGGGCTGGCCGGGGATCTCTGCTGCACTCATATACTCCCAGGATGGCCGTGATCCCCTCTACCCCACCGAACTCGCCTATGCAGACGCCCACATCTTCCCCACCCTCCTTCGAGTTCAAGTGTACGAGCCCACCGTATGACAACTTCTTGGCCTCCAAGCCTGCCAGCTCCATCCTGAGGGAGGTGAGGGAAAAGAAGAGTGTCCGGAGCAGTGAGAGCCAGACGGATGTGTCCGTCTCTAACCTCAACCTCGTGGACAAAGTCAGGAGGTTTGGCGTGGCCAAAGTGGTGAACTCAGGACGAGCCCACATCCCCACCTTGACTGAGGAGCAGAGGCCTCTGATCTGTGGGCCCCCGGGGACACCGCACACCCTGGTCCCTGGAGGTCTGGTCCCCGAGGGCCTGCCCCTCGGGTGCCCAACTGTCACCAGTGCCATCGGCGGACTGCAGCTCAGCAGTGGCATCCGGAGGAACCGAAGCTTCCCCACCATGGTGGGGTCCAGCATGCAGATGAAAGCCCCCGTGACTCTCACCTCGGGCATCTTGATGGGTGCTAAGCTCCCCAAACAAACTAGCTTGCGGTGAGGGTGGGAACAGGTATTCCCCACCAAGAGACCCATTTCCCTCTTCCCCCTGTAGTGCACGTTCCCCTCTACTCCTTCCTCTGCCCATCCCTCACCCCCTCCTGATCTAGACAAATCAACCTTGTGCCTAAAGGGGAAGAGTGTGGCCCTTGTAAAATGTGTACATAGGACTGGGAGACCTTCCGTCTCTCCCCAGATCACTGGGCACTCTCCTTGCCCTCCTGAGGACCTCACCTGTGCTCACCTGGGGGAAGGTGGGTCTCCTACTTTTCTTCTTTTCTTTTGAGAAGCATTGGAACTACAAAGTGCATTCTTATCCCATGGATAGGAAACCAGTGGATTCTCTGGCCAGCTGAGTGGAGGCCTGTGGTGTGGGCTTCCAGCTGTCATCCCCTGGCATCTGCCATCTGAGAGGGTCACGCAGGACACCCTGCCCACCTGGCAGCCACAAGCGCAGATATCGTGTTTGCCGTTGGAGAGCTTTTCTCTCTGTGACTGATGGCCCAGCTTCATCTGAGACCTTGGCTCTCTGCCTCCATGGACGGCCGCTTCCTCTTTCTCGAGGTGTGACTTCTTCCTTTCCTGCCTTCAACTTGAAGTCCTGTGTTTTGTAATCAGCTGTCAGGCCAAACGTCTGACCTTGAAGAGAATGTATTTTCACATCCACTGCTCTGTTCAGCAGCCCCACGCTCCATGTTCTCTGTGGTCCATTTTTATTTTCCTTTTTTGTTTTGTTTTTTTAACTATGTGCACGGAAGTAATGGTACCAGCTTGGAAGTAGCAGTGTCTGTTCTGTGTGTGGTTCTGTGACACCAAGGTATACATTTCAAACACAACAAACAACTAAGGAACTGGCAGATTGTGTCTGGGGTCCATTGTCACAACTGGATAGATTAAACCAGACCCAAGACAACTATAACAACAAGGGGGAAAAGGTGGGCAAAGGGATTTGTCAACAGTAAAAGTTAAGGGGCAGAACCACCATCAGGACCAGCCGTAATAAAACCAGGCTGAGGAAGAGGCAAGCTTCTAGGATTTTGCTGATTCCTGATCTTACTCTGAAAAGCCAAATGGGTAAACTTACTTTTGACTGTGAAATCTTGTGTTGCAGCCATTCAGTGCTCCACACACACTTTGCCCCTTTGTGTCAACACAAGGACTGGCCTCAGCAAGGCTGTCCCCACCTCCTCCACCCTACCCTATCCCCCGAGCCCTTACTCTCTTCATGACACTTTTTATCCTTAGGAAAAGATAGAGATGCCGGTGCAGAGAACGACACATGAACACAGGGAGCTGTTGCTTTTGCTGACCAAGTTTTGAACTTTTATTTATTGTGCGTGTGCCTGTGTTTGAAACAAGCGTCCTCTCTCTCCTTTTCTAGTTCTAGTCGCGGGTCTCTGTGGCCATCTGCTCCAAGCACATAATTTATTTATTATACTCTGAGGACTACACTGTACATCCTGGTATTTCGTGTCGTTTGTTCCAGACATGTATGGAAGGATAACATTATATAAATGAAATTGTCATCTTAGCTCACTTTCCTGTCCCCTGACAAAATATACGTATCCTCCAAATGAAAGTTCGTAACTTGATGTCCACCCAGATGCTTTGAGAAGGGCCCCAGAGCTAGCTTTGGTCCCACAATTTCAGACTTATTTATTCTCTCAGAAACAAGAGTGTTGGTTCATTATGTTATCAGCTCTCCTTGCCATTGTGTGTGTTCACTCACTGCAAATAACTTATATCTTTTTATTTGAATGTATTTTAAAGCAGTAGATAGAATAACAAAAGAGAACAAGAAACACAGATCAAATGGACCACTTTATTTATTCAGAAAGAAGAACCAGCCACCATCACAAAGGAAGTACCAGTATAAAAATCAACAATTTGGAAGTTGCCGTATTTAGCCTAGTGAATAAATAAAGGATAAACAGTGTGCAACCACTACCAAAAAGTGTGTTGTAAATGCATCAAAAATCAACAATGACATTTTATTTGCTAATGAATATCAATAAAATAAGTTTGATGATGGAGCCTCATTGCTCTTCTGATTTGTATTTTGTTTCCATTTTTTCACTGAGATAATGTCACGTAAGACTTAGAGGTTATCAGGGTGCCATAATGAAAAATCCTCAGATGTGTGTGGTTTCCCACATGTGTGAGTCCGTCTGTGGGGTAAATACCTAGATGCTGTCAAGTTAGCTCCAACTGCGTACAATAGAACGAAACACTGCCCGGTACTAGACCATCCTCACATTCCTTACACTTGAGTTCATTGCTGCCACTGTGCCAATCCATCTCGTTGGGGGTCTTCCTTTTTTTCACTGACCCTCCACTTGACCAAGCTTGATGTTTTTTCTCCAGGGACTTGGCCCTTCTGATAATATGTCCAGAGTATGAGAGATGATGTCTCACCTCCTGGCTTCTAAGGAGCATTCTGGCTGTGCTTCTTTTGCAATATGTTGTCTGATTTCTTGACTGCTGCTTCCATGAGTGTTGATAGTGGATCCAGACAAAATTATTGCCCTCAATAAAGGTACGATAAACCACCCCCCAAAAAAATATATTTAAAAACCATGGCAATCCCTTGTGTTACAGGGTAGAACTGAGCCCCGCGGGGTTTTCTTGGCTATTGTTGTTGTCAGGTGCCATCGAGTCGGAACCGACTCATAGCGACCCCATGCACAGCAGAACGAAACAGTGTCCGATCCTGGGCTAACCTCACTACCGCTGCCACACTTGAC